TTGTCTCTGCATTTTGGCTGCTTCCCTGTTTTGACAGAGTGGCTTTGTGTGGTAGGTGACCTATAGGGCCCAGTGGCTCAACCTCCCCAGTTACCTGAGGTGGACACTCTTGGTGTACCCCTTTGTGGACTGTGTGCAGTCTTGTTGTAGTTAAGCCTTGATTATTGTTGGTATCACTGGGAGGAACTGACGTCCAGGCCAATTGGCTGTGAAGATCAGTTGTGTCTACGATGGGAGAACTTCTGTGCTGGAGACAATCTTATGAGGCAAGACTTGCTTCTGTGGGGCTTTGGTGCTCACTGAGTCTGCCCTCTGAGTGTGTCCCTTATGGATGTGAGGAGTTGTAATCTGGATGGTTATATTCTCACCCCTGGGTACACTGGCTCTTCAATCTCTAAGGAGGTGCTAATTTAGCCTCTGCCTGAGGCCACCTAACAGGAGCTACAGAGAGATCTGCAGATTCTTCTTCTTTGTTTGTGTTTTAGAGGTGCCTAGATGAGGCCCAGCTGTGAATTGATGCGAGCTGTTGCAGGGCCTTGAGCCTTCTTTTGGATGTTCTGGGTTTCACCGACCCAGCTGCAGTTGGTTAGGTAAGTTTAGAATTCAAAGACCAGGCCATTCATACGCAAAAGCCACTGTGCTCAGTTTGGATGGAGTGGAGTCTCAGGGTGGAGAAAACAACAATGGTTTCCGGTCAGCCCTGCCCTAAGAGGCCCCTGGGTCTCAGTGTTTCATGGTAATCACTGCAAGCACCTCTGAGAGAAAGTCGCCCTCGAGTTTTGCCTGCTGCTAGACAGTCCAGTTTTTCCCTGTATGAGTCTGGGTCCCAGAGTCTCACCAGAAATTGGAGTTCAGAGAAGTCGGGAGCTTTTGTCTCCCTCCCGCTTGAAAAAGACAGCTGTGTACTCAGTTGCCAGCCCTCTCTATGTGTCCGCCCCTGTACTTCTGCCTTTTCTTCCGCAGTTTCTGTGAGTCTCAGTGTGCTTTTCTCTTCCCTTCCAGTTGTAGAATTCCCACTCAGCCAGCCTTCCCATGGTTCTGGATTATGTCCATTTTGTCTTTTAGTTGTAGTTTTGAAATTGTTTTGCGAGGCAGCAGTTCAGGTGTTTACATATGCCATCTTGGTTTCTCCACTAAGGTTCTTGAATCTGCTGTTTTAATGCCGTTTGATACATTTGGAATGTTTTCAGTTTTTATATATGCACATATTTTTTTCTGCATTACACTCTCTCTTTTCCTGAGATTGAAAGGCATGAATATTAGACCTTTTGTTATTATTCTACAGATCCTTATGATTATGCTTATTTACCTCTTAAGTTTTCCTCTTTGTTGTTTAGGTTGGATAAGTTCTCTTGTTCTATCTTCACATTTACTGACTCATTCATCCTCATTTTGCTATTGAGCCCATCTAGTTACTTTTAAAATTTCAGTTATTATACTTTCAGTTATAACATTTCAACTTGGTTCTTCTTTTATCGCACTCCTTTGCAGAGACATTCTATCTTTACACTCATTTCAAGATTGTTTGCTCTCATTGAAACATTTTTTATAACAACTGCTTCAAATTATTTTTTAGATAATTCAAAAATTTGTGTCATGTCATCTCAGCATTTGGTGTCCTTTGATTGCCTCTTGTAGTTGAGATTTTTTGGTTTTTCATGTGCTGAAAATTTTTGGCTTGTATCCTAGACATATTTAATAGTGTGCTGTGGGGTCTTATATCTTGTTTTAATCCTAAGGAGTAACATTCATATATTTGTTTTAGTTTGTAGTCCACATGGTTGAGTCCAGATCACAAGTTCTGACCTGCCTTTTGTGGATCATGGCTCCAAAGTCACTCAAGTTTTAAAAACTTTGCAGTGTTATTTAGAATAGTCTCGCAGGTGTTTTATCCAGTGGCTAGTCTAGGGTGATCTGATCCTTAGTCCAATTGTCAGTCTTTGATATATTGTTTAAGATCAGACCCCCAAACAAGTCAAGGTGAATCTAGCAGTTCATAAGGACTTGATAGGATTCGTTCCCCCAAACTCCTCCCTCTCCATAATCTTTCTACTACTCTGCAGTTCTTGGAGTTCCCCATTTTTCTCCTTTGGCAAGAAATCTGAGTCTTTGTTTACTTCTCTCTGCTTTGCACTCCTTGCAACTTTGTCCATATCTGGGGCCAAGAAGCAGGAGGACAGAGAGGGGAAAATATCAATGGGAGTTTGCCCCCACTATTTGGGAACCTTAGCTACTCCAGCCATAGAGAAAGGGTCCTCTACCCCTTAGCATTTTAAGCACTTGATAGGACTGCTCCCTCCATTGTCACTGTGAAAGGGAGATTGCCTATTGGTTAGGGTGTGAGAGAATTTAAAAAAAAATTAAAAATGGTGGTCTTTGTTATTTTCTCTGAACTTTAGATCTATTTCCTACTCTTACTGGTGCTCTCTGTCCATGTTGATGCCACCTTATGGGATTTGGGCTGCCTTAAGTCCAGTACAGTGGCTACTGGAGGGAAGAAATAATAAATTCACTGCCAGTTGTTATACTTCAAATTCTGGTAATTCATACTCAATTTACCTGGTACAATTTATGTTGTAAAGTCCTTAAGTAGTTGCGCCATGCATTCTGTTCAGGTTTATTGCTGCATTCAGATTGTTGTTGTCTGCATTTGTTATTGTTCTGTGTTAACTGGAATCAGAACCCTTGTATTGTATAGGTTAGTTTTCCTACATAAATATGTATAGATAATGGAGTGTTTTCTTTGTAGTATATTTGTGTTGGGAATAATTTTTTCATACTCTACATGAGGCAACAGATTTATATGATAAATACTCTTCTGGATACCTATCACTCTGGAATAAATCACTCTTAAACATAGTAGCTTAAAATAACATAAATAAGTTTAGTATTACCTCATAGATTCAGGCATTGATTAGGGTCAGCTAGGTGGTGCTTCCTTGTTTATGTTTACAACAAGATTGTGACTGGGAATGAAATAATTTGAAGGCTCACTCATTCATGTATGTGGTATATGGCCTGAGAACACTTAAACAGCTGGGGCTCCTGTGGTGTTTATTTCTGTTTCTATGTGGTTTCTCCAGCACAGCAATGTCAAGGTAGATAGATTTCTTTTTTATTTTCTACACCGATAACTTGTGAAGTGAAGTCATAAAAGGCAGTCTAGTTTCAACCTGGCTCACTCTCATGCTACACATATATTACAATATGATTACCACCATAGTGTTAGTTAACACCTCTATCATGTCACAGAATTATCATTTCATTTTTGTGGTGAGAACATCTAAGATCTACTTTCTCAGCAACTTTCAAGAATACAGTATAGTGTTGTTGTCTATAATCACCATGTTGTGCATTTGTTCTCCAGAACTTATTCATCTTATAAATGGAAGTTTGACCAACAGCTCCCCATTTCCCCGCCATTGGGCCCTGGTAATCACCATTCTACTCTGTGACATAATGCAGTATTTGTCTTTCTGTGTCTGACTTATTTCACTTAACACAATACCTTCAAGGTCCATCTATGTGTTGCGACTTAAAAGTTTGACCTTTCCCTGCCATTTTCCGATGGTCTTAGGCGACTCTGCTAGCGGTTCTCAACCTGTGGCTCCAGACATTGGAAAGGTTGAGAACCGCTGCTGTAGAGCCTAAGACCATCGGAAAACACAGATATTTACATTACAATTCATACAGTAGCAAAATTACAGTTATGAAGTAGCAACGAAAATAATTTTATGGCTGGGGGTCACCAAAACATGAGGAACTGTGTTAAAGGGTTATGGCATTAGAAAGGTTGAGAACCACTGGTCTAGATGAATAGGAGAGAATCTAGCAAAAGTCTATATAAAGCGGTTCTCTTAAAGAAGGTCCTAAGCAAGCTTGCCAGAGTGTTCACTTAGAGAGGAACCAGGAAGGCTCCCATAGTCTAAATGCCTTTCCTACCCAATGCCACGCCTACCTATTATGGCTTCTTTTAGCTAAGCATTGCTTTCTCCAACGAATCCTCTTAAAAGTGCAAACGCCTCTGGGCGAGAAATCTGGGCAGTTAGTATGCGTTTCAATAAACACTATATGAATCCAGTGCTAGGCCCTGGGGATTCAGCGATTTCACAATTTGGTCTCTCTTCTTCCTTGAGGTTTTATGCTTCAGACACTTTATAATTTTTTCCCCAGAGGTGGGCCTGGTCCTGAGAACCCTCCAAAGATTTCCTGGGCTACCAAAAGGTCAAGGTAAACGGACCACCAGGCTTCCCCCCGCCCCTCCCTCTGCTGCTCATCTGCCCAGAATGGTAAATGTTCAGTTCCTTTAAACCCTTTCCCAGCCCTGACCGGTTTGGCTCAGTGGATAGAGTGTAGGCCTGCAGACTGAAGGGTCCCAGGTTCAATTCCGGTCAAGGGCATTACCTTGGTTGCGGGAGGTGTGCAGGAGGCAGCTGACTGATGTTTCTTTTTTTTTTCTTTTTATTGATTATGGTATCACATAATTGTCCTCATCCCCCCATTCCCATCCCAAACCCCTCCCTACATATGCTCTCACCCCCTGTGATCATCATCCTCCATTGATGTTTCTAAGTCTCTCCTTCTCCCTTCCTCTCTGTAGAAAATCAATAAAATATATTAAAACAAAACACCCTTTCCCAGAATTAAGAAGTCAGTCTATTTCCCAAGGGGTAAAGGATGCATTTCAACGCTCTCCCCATATCCCCACCCCTGTGGGTCCCCATTTTATGGCAGACTAAGGCAGAGGTTTGAATGAAGCCTGGCAGATTCTGGGACTCCAGGAACCCAGACGGCCTGGCCAGGTACACCAGAAGCGGGGGGAGGGGGGAGGTGGCGCGCGCGCAGAGAGGCCGGGGGCTGGCGGGCTGGGCAGTGGGTGGGAGGACCACAGCCAGCCTCGCTCCAGCGGCGGGCCCACGCCGGGCCCCGCGCCGGGGAACAGGTGCGCGGGCGGGGGGCGGCGCTTGGGGATCCTGCGCACTGCGCGCTCCCCTCCCCCGGCCGGCCGCCCGCAGGAGGAGGAGCCGTGGTCACCGCCACTCGGGCTGGCAGGTCGGCGGCGCCAAGTCAACCCACCGACGGCGCGGGCTGCCGATCGGCGCGCGGGCGGCGCGGGCGGCGGGGACCATGGAGCCCGGGGGTGACGCGGCGCGCCGGGGCCTGGGGCGGGCGGCCCGGGCGCTGCCCCCGCGGCTGCTGCTGCTGCTGCTGCCTCCGCTGCTGCTGGGTCGGGGGCTGCGTGGGGCGGCCGCGGCCTCCTCCTCTGGGGCGGCGGCCGAGGACAGCAGCGCCATGGAGGAGCTGGACACGGAGCAGGAGGCGGAGGAGAGCCACCGGCAGGACAGCGTGAGCCTGCTCACCTTCATCCTGCTGCTCACGCTCACCATCCTCACCATCTGGCTCTTCAAGCACCGCCGGGTGCGCTTCCTGCACGAGACCGGGCTGGCCATGATCTATGGTGAGCACCCCCCCCCCCCCGCCCCAGCCCACCGCCCCGCCACCCCTGGGCCCGGCCGCCGCGGTTCCCCCCCCGCCCCCCCACTCGCTGTCCTGCCTTCACTCTCAACGTGTCTCGTTCCTTTTCCCGCGGAGACGGTGTGGGCTCCCAAGGTCAATGTCTGCATTTGCTGGGCTTCCCACCCCATTTCCACGTCTCTTCGTGGGGAAGCAGGAAAAGGGAAGGCACAGAGGGGACCTGGATCTCTGCCCCGGGTTCTGGCTGGCCCCCGCCCCCCATCGCGACCGGGACCCCCGCCCCAGTTCAGCTCAGTGAGGAGGGGTGCGACCTGGCAGGAGGGGGTGATTCCGCCAGGGACCGCGCCACCCCAGGAGTCAGGCCACGGGAGGGTGGGAACCGGGGCTGAGGGGGCTTGGTGTGGGCTGGTGGGGCCTGGTGGATGGATGCCAAGTCCATGGTCGACCTGTCTGGGCGTCCACTTCGGAGGCCGGTGTGTCCTGGTCTCTGGTGAGTGAAGTGGGGACACGGAGCGCCCAGGAAGGTGAGTGTGGTCAGCACCCATCGGCGTGTCCGCACGCCTTTCCCCCTCGTGTCCGGATGGGAAGTTAGACCAGGTCCCTGCCTTCTGGGGCGGAGAGGAGCTTTGTTTTCCCCAGACCGACACATCTGAAGAAGCGTTTGTCAGCGTATGAACAGGCAAAGTAGTGGTTTTCCTTGGGGCGTCAGCCTTCCTTGTCTGGTTTGATGGCACGTGGTGTGTCACATGCACAGAGGCTCGTACAAACCTCCTGTCATTACAGAGGTGTCATTTAGCCATCATCTGAATCCTCCCCCTCTACCCCCTCCAAGCCCCCCCTGCCTGCGCCCCTTCCAGGACCCCAAACTGGGACCAGTATTCCAATTTTGAATTTAACACAGCGGAGCGCAAGCCTGTGCCGGTGTCCTCATGTGAAATGGATGAGCCCGCTTCACAGCAGTTCCCAATAGGCAGCGTTTGGCTTGATCGCTTCTCCTGGAGCGATCTCTCCACTCCATATCCATCCAGGAGCGAATGGAAAGCAGACGCCTTAATCTTTAATGTGAAAATTACCCTTGGCCCCGGGCCTTGCTTCCTCATGGTTCTGGATTGGTTGCTGCCAGCCCAGGCTCTCGGCCACCCAGTGTAGGAAGTGCTGTCGGGAGCCCCGGGCTTTTGAGGGGCCATCGGCCCCCACAGATGTTAAATTGAAACAGGACCGGGCCCAACACTGAGTCTGTTTGTAGCAAATTCCAGGTATAATCCTTGGCCTGTTTGCCTGGCCGTACTTGAGCTCTGTGGTCTGTGTCAGTTGGTGACAAATGTTTGGAGCCAAGGCTGCAGTTAAGCTAGGGGGTTTCCTGAGCAGAGAGCAGCGTGTGGTGTTCAAGAATGTTGTCATTTCTGGCCATGGACTCTGAGCTCTAAAGCAAATGAAGACTGCCTTTATATTATGTGGCCTTGAAAATATTTTTCTTTTATATCCCCTATATCCAATTCATTAGAGTACAATGTGAAATACCGTTAGAAGGTACAATAGCTTTGACAGGCTCCTAAGCACATACTGAAGTGCATAGACAAGAAATGGGGATTTAAAAATACATTTTTTGAGGAGTACTCCGTGTTCTTAGGAGCTCAGTCACCTTTGTCTTGAGGCTTAGAAACAGCAGTGGAATTTTCCTTTGCTGATAGGTGCTTTTTAAACTCATCACAAGCTTTTAGCCACTGGAGCCATGCTACACTGTGTTGTTTCATTTCGTGTCACCAGAATCTAGTTTAATTGATGATTGTTCAGAAAAGGCAACATCATCTCATAGCGTGCCGTGTCATTTTTGTACTCCGTCTTTGGGTCTTAGTGTTGCTTTGAAATGCATGAAGAGATTTCGTTTGTCAATATATGATGTCCTGGGTTATACCAAATACTAATATTTTGATGTGGTTGCATATAATTGTAAGAAAACATTTTTCTCTTTTAGGGATATTTACTCTCTGTTTCAAGATGCTTCCCCAATCAGAATTCTAATGTCATCTGATTAGCTCATTATGCATTATGTACTGAAGACTGTTGTGATTCTGATAAAAAATTCAGTATGAAAATCTTTGGACACTTAAGTAGATGCAGTACAGATTTTTCAGGACTTCTCTTTTTTAATATTAAGAAATCAGATTGCATTGGTCGAGATCAATAGAGGAAGTGAGTAATTGTCCTATTGCCTCTGAGTAATAAAGGACAAAAACAACTGTTGCTGCATGCTGATGACCAGCTTCATTTCTGGAGGTAAACAATTTAACTTTTGCATGTGGGCAAATTTTTATGAGTGAAAGAGTTCAACTGTGAATTTCAAAACTCTTCATTTTGAAATAAAAAAAACACCTAATTTCTGCCCAGCTGGTGTTTCTCAGTTGTTGAGCATTGATCTATGAACTAGGCCAGTGATCGGCAAACTCATTAGTCAACAGAGCCCAATATCAACAGGACAACGATTGAAATTTCTTTTGAGAGCCAAATTTTTAAAACTTAAACTTCTTCTAATGCCACGTCTTCAAATTAGAGTCGCCCAGGCCATGGTATTTTGTGAAAGAGCCATACTCAAGGGGCTAAAGAGTCACATGTGGCTCTCAAGTCTCAGTTTGCCAATCACGGAACTAAGAGATCACAGTTCAATTCCTGGTCGAGGGCACATGCCCCGGTAGCAGGCTCGATCCCTGGTAGGGGCGTGCTGGAGGCAGCTGATTGATGATTCTCTCTCATCATTGATATTTACATATCTCTCTCTCTCTTCATTCCTCTCTCTAAAATTAAAAAACAAACAACAACACCTAAAAATCTAATATCTGCAACTTAAAAATATTTAAGTGGTACTTTAATCTGAGTGGGAAGGCTTTTATATATGTAGTAATGAATTAAAACGAATTGGGATTATATATATATATATATATATATATATATATATATATATATATATAATATATATTTGCCAGTATAGTCATAAAATATCTGTGGAAGGACATGCAATAGACGAAGTCACATTGGTTTCCTTGGTGAGCGGGAGAGTGGGTAGGAACTAGGTGTCCATGACATAGGGGTGGGCGGGAGAGAGCGCTCTCTACCCTTTTGTGCTATTTGATTTTCAAACTATGGAAGTGTGTCCATGCCTTCATTCTGTGGCATTTATGATGGTATTTTAAGATGCTCCTCAGATCATCCAATTTGATACCCACTTCTCCCTATTTACATCACATTATGTTGTCAGTTTTCTGTGACCTTTCCATTGTCTGTATCCATGGAGCTTCCAGAGCCCTGTTCCTGGAATTGAGACAATATGGGGGAAGGGGAAGATTCTTGCCCTCCCTCTCTCCTTCTTTTTATCCCATTATTACCAATGAATAGCTGGTATTGCATTAGGAGTGGAGTGTACAAATAGATCTAATTACAACACTTACTTTGATGCAAAGGACCTAAGGACTGTAAGAGACAGACACCCTGTGAATGCTTACCATTGAAACGGAAAGAACTTCCCCATCGACCAGAGGAGAGCTGTAAGCACTCCTCCCTGACAGAAGCCCCAGACAGCTGCAAGGAAAGGTGACCACAGACCAGACTCCAGGGAAGTTGAAAGCAGCGCCCCAGACCTTGCCACGGGAGCAAGGCCACCAGTCTAACCTGTTTTGTCAGGGCAGGGAGCTCCCAGCTGTCTGGCTGTGTAGTGATTAAGTGCCATCCTAAAGTTACTGGGCACAGCGTGTCTGTGCGGCAGAAATAGCAAGTGTTCGAGGCAGGGAAAGCTGGTATAAACAGACTGTGTCAGTTAATTGTGGTTCTCCCTCATGTGTACAGTAGTTCCACTTCCCCCGTAATGTTTCTGTGACAACTGATACGGCTCCAAAATATCTAACTTGGCCACGCCAGCCTGCCACCTGCTTCTTGTCCCCCCCCCCACCCTGCTCCCCGCCTATCAACTTTCCAAGCCCATGTGGGTCGGCCCCTCCAGAGTCCGTGGCCCGTAGCCTCATTGTTGCTTTGTAGGAGCTGGATTGCTAAGCATAGCCTGAGAGTGGGTTCATAGGCAGAGTCTGAATGGGAGAAATAGGACTTTCTGCAGTAGCATGGAGTTAACATACGACCCTGTGAGCAAACGTTTTGGTAGCACCTTCTTTCTGGTTAATCAGGAGCACTCATTTTTTTTTATTTTTTTTTAAGAACTCATCACTTTTGGCCCTAGTTTGGGGCAGCGCTGTGTGGTCACATGTTGGTTCAAATGCTGGCCTGGTTACTTACAAAGCTGTGTATAACAAGGAATAAGCTCTCTGAGCCTTTATTTCCTCTTATCAGAAGTGGAGACAAGGACATCTTGCTTCCCTGCACATAGTCAGTTTGGTTCAAATAAAGTCATTAAAAAAGTGGAGACAATGCCACTCACCTTACAGGGTCATTGCATGAAAGAGGTACTCTAAAGGCAGGGGCAGTTTCTGGTACTTAAACACTGGTAAACATTAGTTTCCACTCTCACTTTAGACTTTGTGATTCTTTGCTCATCATTGCTATTTGGGGTTGGTTCATTCCATAAAGACCTGCTATAATTTGACAATGCATTCGGATACAGTTCGGGGGATGAGGAGACCAGTAATTTTTCGCTATTTGTTAGGCTATTTGTTAATAACTAGAAAAAAATGTACAGTATAGGTACCTTGCTCTTTTATCCAAAAGACTCAATTCGTACACTTTCTTCTTCAGAAATCCTGGCATTAATTAGCATGTTATGTTACTTGCACTGCAGTATTTGTTGCAGTAGAAACAAGGATTTGTTGCAATACTCATCAAGAAGGCACTGGTCAAAGGCAGCTGTCCACATATATTGTTGTGGAAAAAACAAGGCACAGAACAGCATGTGTGGTATTCTCTCTTTTATGTAATACTAGAGGCCTGGTGCACGCAATTCGTGCATGGGTAGGGTCCCTAGGCTTAGCTGGTGAACAGGGCGGA